TATTCATTCTAGTCATTTTCCAATCATCATTTTAATCTCAATTGAAACGTTTCTCCATTCCACAGTCCTTGTGCACCGTTGTTGAAGATATGAACTTGCTGCAACGGAAGGTATACTTTTGGCACTGGAGCAAAGAGCCGATGGGCGTTTTGTGTCGTTTAGATTCGAAAATGTTCGCACTATTCAAAGATGCTCAAACGGAAGACGAGCTACTGAAGTCGGTCAGCTTGGAGAATGGTAAACGGGGAACGGCCGTTCGAATTTCGGCCAATGCATGATTATTGAATCACACATTCCTATATGAAAATTTGAGTAATAATATTTGATCATCATCATCACATCGATAACTTCCTCGATAAATTTAATTTAAGCGTTGTAAGATCGTTCAGTAATCCAACTAATGTATAGATAGGTATGTTAGGTCTGTTTTGTATAAAATAAAGCTATCCAACAAAGCTTGTGTTTTGATCGAAATGGAATGTGGCCTAAACTATTCTACCAACTATTGAATAGCAACGAGTTTTTTAACGGATCCTGAATAGATTTAACGTGATTGGTAAAATTATGCAATTGAATAGATATGAACACTTTCGAACAGGATACATTTTTTCAATAAGTTCCTACGAAACTATAGAAAGACACCTTCCCTCTGCACTACCGGCAATCGACTATACTTACATTTTTGTTTACATTTATATTGAAATTTTTATTGATCAATCAAATTTGATTCGTATGCAATTTCCCACATAGCATCTTTCAATCATATATTGGCTCAACATTGATGTGTGGCTTCATCTTCATCTCATGGAGCTTATAGTCTGAAAATTCATTGAAAAAAAATCCTGACGAACATATAGAACACATCAGAAAAATGTAAAGAAAAGTATTTGATAGAAGAGAAAAAAAACGCCAACCGTCATTTGTTATCGATGAATGTTTTATTTAAACTAATATATATCTATCGCATTATTTTTATAGCATTAATTAGATACAGATATATGATTCTTTTTTTTTAATTCTTGTATGTGTGAGTGTGTGTATGGTTGTTTTAATTGTAATTTGTGTATTCTCATTGTTGTTGCATATTTGTTGTTTCATTTGTTCGTTTTAAAAATTTCATGTTTTTCTTTTCATTTTTTGTTTCTTTAAATATTTATTCTTGGTTTGCTTTTCGTCGTTTTCCGCTCTGTTCCATTCATACCAATTTCAAATTTCATGATATAGTTTTTTGTTCTGTTAAATAAATTGCTCATTTTTTACTTTTTTTTCTCTCATTTTTTATAAGTGTTTTTGTTTGGTTTTGCACAATTTTATCGTTTAGATTATTTTTCTTTAAATTCATCATTTCAATTGTATAAAATTATGCTTACAAGTGGGAATCGTTCACAATACAGTTGGACTGTAAAATTTGTCTTAGTTTTTGGGCGAATTTATTTGGGTTTTCTAATCATCTGCATCAAAATATGGTGTATTGCGTTCAATTTCTATTGTAATAACGCGATTGATGCGTTTTATCGTTTGTTATTGCGTCCGTTTGCTTCATTTTGTGTTGTTTTTTTTAAATTAATTTTTCATTTTACATCCACTTTGAAAAATGCATTCATTTAAAATTGGCTTCATTTTTGTTTGTTTGCTTGTTATGCTTTGTTTTTGTTTCATTTTAAAAAATCTAACACAAATACTAATCTATGCCATTCAACTTAAATGGAAAATACTGTATTTTTTCTCTCTTTCTTTCTCTCGCTCTCTTTCACCTTTGCGAAAAAAAAAACAAAATAGAACAGATTTAGGTGCAACCATAGCCAACCATTTCGGTTGATGTAAATAAAAGTCGCCATTAACATTAGAACAATGGATCCTTGATAATTCATTTTACATTTTTTTCTCTTTTTTTCATCATTATTTTTTTTGCACTTTTTTCATGTTTTTTTCCCGTCATTTTGTTTCGTTTTCTCGCACAGTTGGGTTTGTTTTTTTCTTTTTCTTTGATTAACTATACAGTATTCTCTTTTTTTGTCTCTCTCAAAATATACTTAATTTGGATTCAATAATAAATGCCTTCATAACTCCCCGTAAACTAGAGATTCCAATCAAATTACACAAAAAAGTTTTTTTTTTTTGAAAAACATGTTCAGGTTTACACCGGCCGTCGGCGGTGAGAAAAAAATCTTTTTTTTTGTTTTTTTAAACCTTATTTTCGCTGTGTGACTTCATTATTCAAACTAGAAACGAAACTAATTGTTATAGCTTTGGAGCTTTTTTCCGTTTTTTTTATCATAAAAATATGCACCATAGCCAACCATTTTTGTGTCTATTTGCCAGTTACATTTAGCCAATCAATATTACATTTAAGATATAAAGCAGAATCAGCAATGGCCCAGGAAAATTGGACTGCAATGACTCTTCGCTCCTATTCTTTTTGCGGAGGAAAGAGCTCTTTTGATTTGTTTGTTTCATTTGAATTCGTAATTTTGACCTTTCTCTAGAAAACGCGTTTTTTTGACGCAATTAATGCGATTTTTGTTCGTTCTACAGTCCAATTATCATGGGCCATGTGAGGCTGTGGCTGCACGATTCAAAAATTTAAATTAGACCAAATGTCTTATACGTAGCTTTTTCTCTAGTTGCACTTATTTCCTTTAATTAGCTAAATTAATAATTTTTTTTTTGAAATTTCGACGTAATTTTTCCGGCCTCTTTTCTTCTTTACATCGTATGTTGTTTTTTTTTGTTTAATGCGGAATGATTATCTCTTTTTGTTGTTGTTTGCTAGGACACAAGAATGTAATTATATAAAATTAGGAACAAAATACTATACTCTTTTTCTTTCATAAGTTCTAAATAAATGTGGATTCGAGCACCGTCCATTTGAGAGTTTTTTGCTTGCCACATATGAAAAAAATGCCGAGTCCATTCCGAAAATGGCGTTTTTTTGCTGTTCACTTTTTTTTCTATAATTTTCAATAACTTTTGGATTCATTTAAATTCTTACAGTCTATCTCCTAAAAAGTTTAAGAATTTTTATGCTTTTTTCTTTACTTTTCTACAGTATTTTTCGTTTTATTTGAGTAGCAGCAACAGAAACCACATAACTTTTTTTCTCTCTCTGAAATTCCATCCACTTTCAAATCTCGCCTTTTTTTGGTCAAATCTCTTGTTTCCTCATCAGGTCAGTTGGAATTCTCTTTTCAAATCAGCTGAATAGGCAAATGACATGGAAACTGACTTTTTTCACCAATTTTGCACGAATTTCTTTATTTTTAGCCGAAAAATTGTCGCAATTTTTTGGAAATTTTTCATTTTATCAAGGACAGTTTTTAAAATTTTCTCAATTTTGTTCATCATTTTCTGCCAAAAAATTCAACTTCTGCCGCAAATAACACTTTTTCGTCTAATAGATAGTTGGAGGACTTTAAACCAAAAAGTTCGTCTTTTGCTGACTCAATCTCTGAATTGCGATTGAGCATCGATGCTAAGTCATTTTCCTTGTCATTTAGCCTCAGTCAAGTGTCGAAAGATTGCGGAATAGTAATCGAAAAATATGATCGACATTTTCTTTGAATATTTCGTGTAAATAAATCGTTTCTTTTTCCTTCAACAAACCAATTTGCTTGTTCAAATTGTGTGTTCTCGATTTCATAATTAAAGAAAGAAAGAAGAAAAAAAAGAACATTTCAACAATCATCGATCGGACTTCATAAAAAAAATAAACAACTAAAGCGAACAAAAGGATCCATTGCTAGATTGTTTGTTTCATTCGATTGATGTTATAACGCAAACTCAACGTGAATAAAAGATTCAAAACGAAATCAAACGAAAAAAAAAGTATCTTAATCATTCGCTCGGAACATTCAATGGCATCCGCACACCTCGTGGATGCATCCATTCTACTATTGCACATTTAAAAAAAGGGGAAAAAATGTATAAAAAAAAAAATCAGTGCGAAAGTTCAGCACTATCGATATTTATCGAGAATTGAAGTCCAACATTTCCGGAAAGAAAAGAAGAGTGCAGTTTAAAAAAGTTCCATGTCCTGAATAATATAAAAAATAACCGACCAACGTTAACGCAACACAGACGACATGTTCTTTGTTTTTGTTTGGTTTTCATACATTCACATGTTTGAAATGTTTTGCCAATCTCATGGTCTACGCACAAGGAATAATTCCAAGAATGGCATCTTAATATATGTATTCTTCCTCCGCCACACCGAAAAAACATTCATCATCATCATTCAGTTTTATTCCCTTTTTTTATCATGTTTAGTGTTATTATTCAGATTTCTTTTATTCATTTATTAAGTTCATTTTGGCATTCGTTTTATGTTTGCTTGTTTATCGTTTTGTTTTATGTTCAGTTTTGGTTTTTAATAGCGCGATTTAAGTTCGGTCATTAATGTAGATTGAAAAAGAAACTCAATTACTTGTATGGATGTGTGTTGTGTAAGTGTTTGTGTATGTGTGTGTGTGTTTGTGTGTTTGTGTGTGTATATGATTTCAGTTGAATTCATCAATTCAAGTTTTTTTTCTGTTTTTTTTTTATTCAATATTATCATTTTGTATTGGTTGATATTATGATCTAAATTGATAAATGCGATTTCAATTCATTTTGCTTCCTCACATCACAAAGACCATCACCACAATGGTGATGTCGTCTTGCATGCGGACAGAAGCCAACAATGAAAATCACACCTCAATTCCGATCATTAGCGATAAGTAATAATAATTGCGATGATAAATAATGGTAATATTTTATGGATCAATTAAATGAATTTGCATGAATATATGGCACAAGCTATTTGCTCCTTTCACAGTTCTTTTTCTGGGTGGGTAGGTGTTCGATTGGTCGCAGCTTAAGTCACGGAATTTCTAAAATTTGTTGCTGAAATTCACTTTATTCCGTACATTGATGAAGATCAAAGACTTATTCTTCTTCTATTTCTTATATTTGAAGAGCTATTTCAAGGATAAAATATTGCTTTCTCTGAGCAAACTGACTCCTTTCTGCAGCAAACTGACTTCACCAAAAGAGAATGAGAATCTGATTATAACTTCGCAAAAATCTATTAGAACTTTTATATCGCGATTTTTGACTATTTTCACAGATCCCATGGAAAATTTGTCTCAGATTCCATTGAAAATGAACTGAATTCGTTTCGACGGAAGCGCAGTGTGAATGGAATATGTCCGTTTGCTTCCCAGTTAAGTGTTATTAACCACTTATTTAAGCGTATTTTCATGGTTTGCTCAGACATTTTCACCATTTGTTCCATAGCAAATAATTTGAGCCATTCGAAGTTCAAATCTCTTTTGGATCAGTCAAGCTTTTTCACTTGAAATTATCAGCTTTATTGGGTTGATCAAGAATCACCGCATTCAAGTCATTTATGTTCAAAAATTTGACTTTCATTTTATGTAGCATCTCCTTTTTTCTTCATTTCCAAAGTGATATTGTGTACGGAAAACAGATTAAAAGCCTCTTGATCGAGATCTTTACGTTTTGTTCGAAACGATATGGCACTCGATGTAAATATCAGCAGAAAATGTGAGTCAAATTTCATCGACATGTCATCAATGGCACAGTTCTCATAATAAAATATTCAATGCTTTGTTAAGAACTACTCTTCGAATATTCTTTCCCATTTTTTCTCTATTAAGAACTGTTTCTCTTGTCTCCCGCATTTCTCGTGATTGATTTTCTCATGAGATTGGTTTTTTCCCATTGAAATGCCAACAGATTTCGTTTGCCAGGAAATTGTTATTCTCGTGTTGACGCAAACTTATTTCACTTCTTTAACTGTTGACTGTTTTGCCATTCATTTCATTTATTTTGAGTTGATTTTTTGTGAAAAATTGTCACAAATTCAATTCAACGTGACTCACGTGGACTACTTGCTGCGAAATTCCAATGCAAATGCACAAAATGCTTTTCCACACAAACCATGTTTGAGGAAAAGTAAAACGTTTCGTTTGGCCAAAAATTCATGTTTTGTGTTACGCTCAATTCACCGTTGTGTCCCACTTGGTATCCAAAAAATGGACCGAATGGTGGTCAGTTTTCGATGTCAATGCCGACTATTCGATGAAATTGAAATGCATCAAATGATGCAAAATAGAGCGGCTGAATGAAAATGATTGGGACAATTTGGTGATTGATGGCGCAATTGTAAATGGAACCAATGAGAAAAACTAAGCCGATTTGAAGAATCTAATTCTTGCAATTGGTGACTACAATGTGTATTAATTAAAAACGGTGATGTAAAATTTATTGATACGCCTTACGAATTTTTCTTAGCAACATTTCTGTTGTTTTTTTTTGTTGTTGTTGTTTTCATCTTTTGTGTGTGGTTTGTCAATGTTGTCTGATTTAAAATTCAATTGATAATTACATTCATTATGGCTATTGGTATAAATATTGGCTGATATATTTGAAAAAATTTGGTTTTCCATTCCGATAGTAAAGCAGTGGAAACGAAAGAGAATGCTTGTCTTGTTAGTAAAAGTAAAAAAAAACCGTCGTTTTTGTATGGTAAACAATGAATTGAAATTCACAGTGATCGAAAAGTGGTGAAATGAAATGAATATCATGTAAGTCATGAAACCATATTTATGTCTTTTGATTCGCCGAATTGTCAAAGTGAAGTGAGAAAAGAAAAATTGTGAACTTTACGAACAAAAAAGGAAAACAAAGTATGGAAACAATTCTTATAATTATCTTATTGGTTATGATAATTGTTATGCTCTAGATTCTATCTCCATTAAAGTAGATGTTGTTCAAAAATTTCCCCTATAAAGGAGTGTTTCAGTTAAATTTGTTTTTTTTTCTGTATCAATTTGTTTTTTTTTCTGCTGTTTTTATTATTATTTCATTCTTTGTTTTCTTCTTCTTCTGTTCTTCATGTGTTTTTGTTTTGTGTATGAGAGTAATAAAAACTGTTGTTGAATGTGTGAAGACAATGATCAAGTGAGTCACGCATCAATTGATCTGTTTTCGTTGGATAATCACGTGCGTGATTTGACGCACATGCACGTTTTGTTTGTGTGACTATTGAAATTGTCTTTTGGGCTATTGCAACTAATCGATTAATAAGTATGTTGGTTTTTTTTTCTTCGTTCGCTTCTCCTCTTTCGTTATATTTTTTTTGTTTTTTTTTTGCATTCCATAGAATCGGTTTAATTCTTAAATATTGTAAGCTTGTGTTGTTGTTGTTGTTGGTTGTTGTTTCTTGTTTAAAATTGGTTGTGTTTGTTTTTTGGTTTTGAGCGGAATATTTAAGTTGAAATTTTATATTTTGCTTTTACTTATTATTCACTTTAATTTTTTTCTGTTTTTTCTTTTAATTTTCTGTGGCTGTTTCACGGTTTTTATTCAATCAATTGGAAATTAGATTCCTTATTGGTTCTAGTCGTCATGGTAGTTTTTTTTCTTCATTTATTTATATATGCTTTTTGTTTGTTCGTCGTTTTATAATTCGATTATTCCTGGGCAATTCAATTCTCATCTCTTTGCATAAGTAGCTTTTTGAGCTAAACTACTTGGTATACAATCAGCAACGTTGCAGAATGTGATTGGTTGGAGTCCATGCCTGCCATATTGACTCGAGAACAGCCAAATTGCATGCTTCAATCACTTTAATTGTGTGCTTGTGCAACGTTTAACTCGACATCATAACAATTTTTTTTAAACGCTATATCTTGTGTATGTGTTTGTGGGCAACGGTTCTTGAGCTTGAATGATCATCAAGATAGATCACCTTTTATGTTTTGTTACTATCATTTTTACACCATTTCAGTTGTGCAATGTGTTTATTTGTGTATTTCCGAGTTGGAAAAGTCTTTGTCATAGTCTGGAGGTTTGCAATTGAGCGTGACTTCCGTCCCATTTTTTCGTCCCTCATTCCAATAACATAATCTAGTGTTTTTTTCTTCGTTTTTTTTTGACAGCATTCTATGTATTATGTTCACAAGATGACAACATCGCGTCACTGGTAAAAATGACTCTCTTTTTTCTTTCGCTTCAATTAAACTACATTTCAATTTGTAATTAGTCTACACAATTTACACTGTACATGGCCTCTCTTACTCTCTGTCTTCGTTTCTAGTCTTGCCGCAATTGAACGCCATCGTGAGATTTAAAAAAAAAATCCACTTTTGGCGATGTGATTTGAAATTTCGATTTATTCAAGAAAATTTGCTTTTTTTTTAAACTCAGAGTCATTTCTGTTGCCGAACATTTATTTTGGTTTATCAATACCAGTTTTTCTTCAAGTTTGCACACCAATTTTGCATTTTCCAAAGTATTTATGTGTAATTTTTTTTAAGTATCATTTCTCAAATATTCATCCAAACGGTAACACATTCAAGAGCAACGGCCAACAATTCGTGATTTTAAGTTTAATCGAAGGAAAGAAGATTCTTTTTTGTTCGATTGAAAGCACTTTTCACTTTGAAGAATATTTTTTTGTCGTTTTACGAGGATCCCTTCCTTTCGGAACGATAATCGTTGATCGTTGCTGTTGTGATGCTCGTTATCGTTTGGTTGGCGCGCGCGCGTGCACCTTAATTGCAATCAAAAATGGTTTTGGTTCATCATTCTACTTCCATAGTACAGTCAGCATATCTGTGTTTGTGCGAACGATTCACACCATTCTCACTGTTTTCTGTCTTGCAATTCGGAAATGAGAAACAAATTTGAAATTGGTTTTCTATTTTTCTTCTCCTTTTGTTGGATGAAAGTATAATATACACACACCACGAAAAAAAGGTTAGTTTGAATTGGTTTTCTCTTTCTATCTCCGTAAAAATTAATTTTAAGGTAGGATTCTTTTCTAGAATTCTTACAATAAATTTGTTTTTCTATCGCTTGATTTCCAGAATTTCTTATATAATTAAAAAAAAAACAAACGAATTTGATCAGCCAAAATCAATCGATGACTTTCGATCAGAATTTTGTGTGTTTTTTTTTTGTTTCATCTAAATTATTTCCATTTTTTGTTGTTAATAACTATTATATACATGACACAAACAAAATGAAAAGGAAATTTCAAAACGAGAAAGGAAAAAAAAATACTTGACTTTGATATTGTGTATGACATACGGTGTCGGTGCGAACATTTTCCACTGGAATCCATATGAAATTTGAGTCTTGATACCAGAAAAAAAAATATATTTCGGTCAGCCCGAACCAAGAGCCAACGATTTCAACCAAGAATTCGAGCGAATAAGGATTGGTGTACCACAAAAAATATTCTCAAACGTAGTTTTTGTTGTTGTTTGTTTGTTGTTTTTTTCTTCTTTAATTTCAGAACGAATATGTGTATTGCGTTCCGTTTCAGGTAGTTCGTTTTGTGATCAGTCTTTTGGTTTCCAGAAAAAGTAAATCATAAAAACTCAGTTTGTGCTTTGCATTGGATCTTGGTTCACACTTTGAATAAAAAAACCGCGTTGACATTTTTCTCTTTTCTTTATTTTTGTGTCATCAAAAAAAAAATGATCGCTTTTCTATGGTAACTCTATTTGACCATGATAACGGAAGAAAATTTGGTGCGCCCAAACTTATTCAAATGTCAACGCAATGGATATTGGTTTTTGTTGCTCGTTTTTGCGTGGAAAATGTTCAGTTCTCGCATATTTTTCAACAAAAATAATTTTTTTCTTTTGAATCACCGTGCATGTTCAACATAAAACTTTCTTTTGTAGCTAGAAATCAATTCCTAAAACAGATTTTTTTGCTTCATACTTTTTCTTAATTCTCGTCTGTGACTGTGGGTTTTGCAAAGAAAATTGTTCTTTTATGATAATATGGCAGCTTGTGATGTACAACACTCGTCTCTTGTCTTAATGAATTTTGTTGTTGTTGTTTTGCGTTTGCTAAATGCATAGTTCCTGATATTCATATTTTGCAGTGACTACCGTTGCAATTGGATTTTGTTGTGTATGGTGGTTGTTGTTCGCGCGCACTGTGTGTGTGTGTGTGTGTGTGTCTCTTTCTTCTTGTCTTTGTCATTTTTACCATAATGATTAATGATAATTGTAACAATAATAGTAAGAATGCTTATAATTAACGTGTAAAAGTATTAAATTAAAGGGGAAACATGGACTAAACGTTATTTTTTTTCTCTTTCTCTTTCATCATTTCATCTCTCCAATCATTTTAATTTCAATAATTTAGCGAAAAGCATTGAAGTTTCTCGTCTCTCCATCTCTCTGTTTCTCTCGGTCTATCTCGTTCTATCGAGAACTCGTTTCTGTGTGGACTGTATGTGAAGAAGAAGCCTCTTACACATTGCGGCTTTTGGATTTGTGACGCATTTATGTTGATTATTGATTGTGACCAGGATGTGACTGAGCTTGATGGTTGCCAAGTGCAAAGCCTAATGCACGCGGATCGTTGCCGTGCAGTCGAAGCGCCTGTTCGAGTCGTTGTTCTTGAAACCGGAGCGCTTCGCTCAATTCGGGCGACACATGTTGGCCAAGCTGATGGCTTCCGATCAATGGATTTTGATTTTGCGCTCCAGGTGTATCTACGATTCCGATTTTAAGGGGGTGGGGGAGATTTTGTTAATTTTTGGTCGGAAAATGGATAAATGTTTCGTTAAATTTCAATTTTTGTGCAAATTGTGCAGTTTTTCCTTTAATTTGTCATTTCTTTCAAACTTTGCATTTGACCGTGGCTCACCTGAGTTATTTTGTGGCATAAAGGAGCCGTTGTGATGTCGCAAAGCATTAACATTCAGTTCATTGGCTGCATTTGACGAGTTTCCATTGCTGTTCGCTGGATTATTGTTGGAATTGTTGTTGTTGTTGTTGTTCGAGTTGTGTGAGTTGTCTACAGACACCGAAAAGAAACCGAACAAAACGATTAGCAATGGTTGTTCGTGTCAATTTATGATCAAAAGAGAGCGATCATGAATTGGACATAGAAAAAATGGATGGAGTAAAATACCAATAATGATTTGATTGAGGGAGGGTGTGTGTGTGTGTGTGTGTGTGTGTCGATGCTTCAACAGAACGAACCTGATGTAATATTACAAAAGTGCGTTGGATTGCGCACATTTGAAATGTTACCGTTGGTTGGTTTTGTTCCGCAGGGTCATAGCATATTTAAACAGCCGGTATCTCTATTACCATTAAGATTGTTGTTTGCGTTGGCTGTTGTGGACGCAGCAACGGCGGCTGCTTGAGATACGGCTAAACGCAATGCGGCTTCGGCCTGTGACCGTAAAATCGCTTCGGCTTGATGTATACGGAGTGCTGCTTCGGGCGAATGCTGCGTATGATGTTGGAGGTGATTTTGTGATTGATTCAATTGTATCGACTCGCTATTGTTATTGTTCATGGTCGATCGCATCATTGAATCGGCCATTGATACTCGCATCGCATTCATTGCGGCTTGGGCGGCCGCCGATGCATCATTCGATGCCATCAATGGCGATGAATTCGTTGCACTCTCCAAACTTCCCATCGATGAACCATTGTTCAGCGACTGTGTTGCGAAAAGAAAAGAACGCAAACCAAATTAAATTAAATGAATTTAATTGAAAAAAAGTTTTATTTGGCGAAAAATGTTAAAAGAAATGTAATCTCCATTTTCAAATAAAATTCGCTTTTTACTTAGTTCAAACACAAGCAATTTGTTTCATTATTTAATGACTAAAGCGAGTAAAAAGCCCAGCACTTAGGTTAATACTCACTTGGTGCTGTTGCTGGTTATTTTGTTGATTATTTTGCTGATGTTGATTTTGCTGCTGTTGCTGTCCTATTCGCATCGCTGCAGCCAAATTGACGGCCGCTTCTGTCATTAGTGCCATTCGATTGGCCGAGTGCAAATCATCATATTGTGGATTCAAATGACCATTATCTATTTGGCATTTTTTTTTTAGAAAAAAAAATCATGAAATTGGTTAAAACATTTTTCAGAATGATCAATCGATCAAAATAATGAGTCAAGATTTTTAAAAATTAAAAAGTAATTGGGAGTACATAAAATGTGGTTTCAAAACGTTCAAAACTTCTAAAAATCAAATTAATTTTATCTTTGATCATGCTTTGTTCACCACATTTTATCATTGAACAAATATTAATGTTTGACACTTAAAAAGAAACAAAATTTTCAAATGAAAACGAACGAAAATTAAAAATTAAAATTGAGTTCAGTGATGTGTTTGGTTTGTCATAAGCCGAAGCTATGCATTTGAACTGATTTTGTGAAAATAAAACGATATGCAATTTACATTTGTTATTGTTATTGTTGTTGAGGAGACCAATACCCGCTTCAGATCCGGCTGATGATAAGCGGCCATTATTCGACGAGCTATCGGATTGTGCTGAAGGCGATGGACACATCGAATTTTGGCCAACACCCGATAGACCCAACAGACCGGAACCAGATGCTGAAACCGCTGCGGCTGCAGCCAACAGTGTGTCACGTTCGCGCCGTTCGGCTGCCGCACGTGACAGCACATACTGAGCGGCAAACTGATGTTTTGGATCCATTCTCATGTGCTCCATGTGCGTCAACAGACCTTTTTTGTGGCAGGAAAAATTGAGACAAAATTTAGAATTAGGGAAGAGATTGATTAAGGATAACATATGAATTTCGATGACATTCAGCCTCCATCGAGAGTCTCGATTCGAAACTTGTCATTCAAAATCGGTGCATGGATTTTTTTCTTCCATTCAATTTCAACACATTCTATACCATTAATAAAGGTCATTTACTATAGAGTCGAGTATGAATTTTGAATGAATCGAAGAACAAGACATGATAATTTTTCAATTATTTTTACCTGATTCATGAGTGAAGACAGCTTGGCATACCGAGCATGGCCACATGCGTAAGCTAGTTGTGAGCTGTGACGTTTCTGGATGGCATGCCAAATGTTTACGCAATGATCCTTCGTTCACATAGTGCTTGCCACAGACGGGACACGGATGATTGGCAGTTCGCCGCTTGCCTAAAAAATCGGTTGGAGATGGGGGAACTACGGACACAAATTTTCAGGTCAATGCATTGTTCTCTACTGGTGGTTTAATCTTATATTTAAGAAACAATTAACGTTTCATTTCATTTTGCTGGATAAGTTGAGAATGCAAAAGTTTGCATCCAATAAACTAAACTTAATTAATTCCAACATCAAACGAAATACAAAGCATGTGATGAAGAATACCACAGTTTATATACTTACTGGCTGTTGTTGCTGGTGCAGTATTGTTGGTTGGTTCTTTGTGGCTGTGCTTCATGTGTTCCATGAGTGAATCGGCACCCAGGAACAGTTTATGGCAAATTGGGCAAGATGTTGCATTTGGACCACCAATCAAAGCGGCATGCTGCTGAAGTACACCCAAATGGAGTTGCAATTCCTGAAATGAATCGATTTCATTCGTTTCAAATTAGTTTATGGCATTGAAGCGACTTAGGTATGGTAAAAATTAAACCGAATGATTATTTGACGGGAGAAGTTGTTCAATCGAATGAAACAATAGCATTGAAAGAGGGCTTACTAATTATGGCCAGAAAAAAAATGCTTAACAAATGAATGCATCGTAAAATTCCATTTATTCTTCTTTTTTTTATATTTGTTTTTTTTTCTCTGCAAAATACTTCTCTGCAAAGACTTTTTTTTCCACCAAAATTCATTGGAGTGCAGAATCCGGTTCAATCGAATACAGTTGATTTCGTGTGGAAAATCTCAACAGTTCACCAATTAGCGGATTCAAACTGGAAATTCGTAAGTTAAATCAGAGAGCAGTACAACGTCGAAATGGAGTGACTCATTCAAATGGCTAATTTTCGTAGTATTTTCCTTTCAATGTCCTTTGTTTGCTCCTTTTTTCAGTTTTTTTCATGATTTTTTTTTCGTGTTTCTTTTGTCTTACTCTTCTGTGGCATTACTAGCTTCCAATTAGTTGATAATTTAATTAAGCACATGTAAATGCGCAACAGTAGTCGAAAGACAGCAGACGAAAAAAAAGCACAGAGAGAGAGTACCATACGCATTGAATGATGTGGAACAATGAAATGTTAAATTCGAATTGAGCGCAACTGATAGAATTTGAATCCATTATGATTTATTCAAACAGAAAGCAAATAATTATTGTAATTCACGTTTAATGAAAGCAAAGTAAAAGACGGAGAAAAGTGAAGAGAGAAAAAAAGCCATCGAAACAAAAATGGCATACACATATTTCCCGCACCATTAGAGACTTCGATAGACAAAGGCACATGCTTGCTCAAATAGAAACGAATCGATTGTTGTTGTTTTTTTTCGGTCGTGTTCGCCAACATTTGACGCTGCTACAGGAGCAACTACCTAAAATATAACGCGCATTCGGCACTCAGCAGCGATGAAGAAAGCAAGAAAAAAACGTAGTATTCCATACAATGAAATCGCTAATTTCGAAGGGAAAACGGAAAAATGTCGTACATATTAGCGCGCAGCGTGTGCAATGCAGTGAAGAGCTCAAGGCAATAAGAAACAGCTATACCTAGATATTTCGTTCTTTTTTTTGCTTTCTCCGTGATTTCGTCACCCAATTTGTTTGACGCGAATCGACTGAAATGGAGAAACGGTCAAAAATCCATACCACTCGTAATTTGTTGAATGAATCTTTGGAGAAGTGCCGAACATATGCACGAATTTGCATGTGGCGTGGCGAGGCACTTTTTTTCATTCTTTCCCCGTTCAAAACAACGATTTTTTTTTTAAATTTTCTCTTCAATCTCCTATTCAATCTCTCTCTCTCTCTCTCTCTCTCTCTCTCTCTCTCTCTCTCTCATTCGCTCTCTTTCTCTCCCCCGATTTCTGTCCTATTTTATACATTTCCATTGATTTTTACTCGTTTTCCTTCACTTTTTCCGTTTTTTTTTGTTCCTCTCCCTTCCGTTGCAATGTAAAATGTTTTCTTTCATCATTTCTTTTCTTCATTTTCATTCTACTCGTCCATATTAACCAAATGTCCGACATAATCTCTGCATAATTGTAATGAATTCTGGTGAGCTAAGTGGTAAAAATTGTGCCATTTTGGAGAAAATGTTTCGACATTTTTTGTTTCAGCTGTTCGGAATAAATGACTAGCAAATGTGGCTATAAAATGGCCGGAAGAAAGGAGTAGAAAAGAGGCAAAAACAAAGAGACGAAAGCAAAGCAGAAAAAAATGTCTTGCGGAAAAAATAAATGTCGTGAAAAGTTCAGGGCTCGTCTTTAGTATAGCCGTATGCTACGATTGTCTTCTATTCTAGTGTCGCAATGCTTCTTTTATTCGGATTCGTAAACACAATGCATTCACTCGCACTCGCTCTCACACCCAATCATGATTGGCGCTGTGGCGCACGTCAATTCAGTATGGTGTGTGTGGCATGGTGTGAATCGCTACAGCAATTTACCATTAGTCCAAACGCCTTAAATAATACGCGCACTGGTGCGGTCCCTTGGCATTCCATTTCGACTCTCTGATATAAGTGCTTCGAAGCTGTCTGTTTGTATTATTAATCACTCGTGAAACTCTCGGCACACACAAAAAAGAATCAAGGAAGAATGGAACAAACGAACGACTACGACGACGACGACAGAAGAACGGAAAAAAGAAGAAGTCGCGTTTTGCTATCGCCGATTTTTCTTCAATTTTTCCATTACATTTCATTTTTAAAGACCATCTCCCTCCGCCTTATCAAGAAAAAAAAAAACACACACACACACCAACAATAGCCCGTGGAACAATGAATGCGCGTTGTACCGCACAATCGACAGAGAATTAAAAAAAAAACAAACAACCATTAAAAAAGCAGGCACCATTTATACGGACTTTTCAACAAAATACCATCCTCCTCCCAAGAGACAAACACTGAAGTGAAAGGAGAGAAGAGAATACGCGCTCGAGCGAACAAGCTAAACAAACAGTTATCTTTTTGTTGTTGTTTTTTCTTCTGATTCGTTGCTCTTTCCATTTCCATTTGCGCGCTTTCCCTAGTTTCTTGTTTCATTTCGACTCTTTTTTTTCCTGTTTCATCGCTCTCGCCGTCCTTCCATCAAATCAAAACTCTTGTGTCAACTCAAACTGTGTGCTCTTTTTTCTTCGGTTTATGGACGAAGGATGAGGAAGAAAAAAAAACATAGCTCAAAAATGAAATTTCAAGTGAAATATTGCCAGTTTTGTGCTGTTTTGATAGAATGTTGAGACAACAAATTTTTCATATTTAGCAATCAACGGAGGAGGCAATAAGCCTTACAATTTTGTTGTAGACTTTTTTTCAGAACCACTTTCATTTTGCTTTATTTATTTCGAACAATTGCATGGACTTTCGCGCATTGCACAAACATTAAATGACAACTTTCTACTACAATTTCTATTAAATTAAAAGAAAAAGCATGAAAAAAGACCAAATTGAACGGAACGAATGGCAATGGAATAATTTTTTTTCTTCTGAAAAATGCAATCGATTTTGAATCAAAAGTAGCAAAAAAAGTGCCCAAAAGTTTGATAAAAATTTCGAGTTGACAAGCCTGAAAAAATGATTTCGCCACGAAAAAAAGCGATGCAGGACATGAAAAAATGTAATGGCCAAAATTGGGAACGCCATCGAAATGCGTAATATGAAAATGTGGTGTGTGTGTGTATCTATCGAGTCGAGTATGAGATTGAACGAGAGGCGCACAATAGTTTATCTAGATATGTGCATGTATATATAAAAGCATCGGCGATAATAAGTATATAAGGGATGGCTTTTGAGTTGCATGCAACAATGATAGAAATGCGAAAATTTCGGAATATTTTTTCCATTTCATTCACTGCACTCAAATGGAATATCCGTCTCTTTCGCTGTGTGTTATTTTTTTAATAATATAAAATATAAATAGGAAAGAATGCAATCGAAATATATTGAATACAGTAGAGTGGATTTTTAACGTTGTTTGCGATAGAGACAGCGAAAATGCGAACGATAGAGAGTAACGAGGGTGCAAATGAAAATTAAACACAAAACATGTTCATGTGTGCGCGTTGGGCGATAACAGTTGCGTTCATTGCAATATGAAGTGCATTTATGCGCGCGGCCATATTGCACATAAAGTCTCGGGATGCAATTCGACACATACCACACATAAACATACACATACTCACGTACCGATGAGGGAGAGCAAGAGAATGAGTACATGCAATAGGCAACAAAACAGGCACTACACACACAAACACACACACACGCATACATAGACCCATTACGGCCCACGTCGTATGTTTAAATACATTGAATGATGAGGGCATTGCACATTTAAATGAGAATGCGTGAATATTTACGTGGAAACACACAAAAACTCTGTGTTATTTCATATCATTTTTTTTCTGGTTGGTCCATTCTCTCGCTTTCGCTTCTATTTCGGTGGTGGTGATGGTGTGCTGTATGTTCCGGGATGCAGTTTTTTTTGTATGTTGTTTGTTATTTCATTTCTGTGTGCCTTTGCCATAACTGTCGCTGCTTCACGCAAAGTGGGGTCCAGTGTGTGTGCTGTGTATATTTCACATTTTGTATTGTTGCATTACTACGCCCAACCAAAATATATTATTGTTGGTGTGCTGCTGCTGCTGTGTGCATGTGTATTTGTTTGGGAAAAATAAATGAGGGTGCGACAAGCGGTAATAACATGGTGGTGGCGTAAATGCATTCACATTTCAATGGAAAAGTATGTGGAGAGCGAGTGCTGCAAAATCCACTCCACTGGTGCAACGAACACACGGAGAACGAGAGACACACACAGAGTTTTCGAGTGCATCGCCAGGCTCGATTCAAAACGTGATGCATTAGATTCTGGCGCAAAAATTATATTTTACACTTTTCCCATAAATTTCATCCAGCGAATGAATGCACACAACTGCAGCCAATATTTAACTGAAGCCATTTTAAACAGCGACCAGGGAAAGAAGGAGAGAAAAAAAGGAGAACACCCGCAGAAAAAACAAATGGCCCGTCCTTTTTTCACACAAATGCTTTCGTTCGTCTTTTCCTCTCATCCTTTTTTCGCTCCCCGTTTCTCTCAAATAAAATGGAATTCAAATGCTTGAAATAATTAGTTGATGCATTTTGCAATCGAGAATAAAAAAAAACACACAGTTGAAATGAGTATTTGTCCAACATCAAATACTCTGTTTGCCTCGCGTTCTTTAGCATTCTCTTTTTGTGCCAATGACGGACAAATTTTGTTCAAACTAATTTGTTGATCTTAAATCTCTTTTTCTTTCTCTTCTTTCGACCGAATCTCGAATGCGGTTTGCGCTATCACTCTCTAAGTTTTAAATAAGCTTCAAAGCATTTCAAAGTTAATGCTATTTCCGACTTGCAAAAGGATTCGACACACTGAAGTGCAAAAGAT